TGGGAGCTCATAAAAATCAAACACTTACGCTCATCAAAAGACTTCACCAAAGGAATGAAAAGAGAACCTACATACAGGGAACAAATTTTGGCTATGGCATATCTGACAAGGGTCTAGTCTCTAAAGTCTATAAAGTACTTCAGCACCTCAACAACAATAAGACAGATAATCCAGTTAGAAAACGGGCAAAGGATATGAACAGATACTTCACCAAAGAAGACATTCAGGCAGCTAACAGACACATAAGGAAATGTTTGCCATCATTAGCCATTAGAGAAATGCAAATCAAAACCACAATGAGATGCCATCTCACCTCGACAGTACTGGCACTAATAAAAGAAACAGAAAATACCAAATTTGGAGAGGTTGCAGGGAGATTGGAACCCTTAGGCACTTTTGGTGGGAATGTAAAATTGTACAACCACTATAGAAAACAATATGACACCTCCTTAGAAAGCTAGAAATAGAAATACCACACAATCCAGCAGTGCCACTCCTAGGAATATATCCTAGAGAAACAAGAGAGGTCACATGAATAGACATAAGCACAACCATGTTTATTGCAGCATTATCCACAATAGAAAAAAGATGGAAACAACCTAAGTGCCTGTCAACAGATGAATGGATAAACAAATTATGGTACATACACACAATGGAATACTACGCAAAAATAAAGAACGATGAATCTGCGAATCATCCCATGACATGGATCAATCTGGAGGGCATTATGCTGAGTGAAATAAGTCGATCACAAAAGGACAAATAATTGTGTGAGACCACTATTATAAAAACTCAAGGAAAGGTTCACACACAGAATAAAACCGTCTTTGTTTCCTAGGAAGGGGAAGGGTAGGGAGGGTTATTCACTAACTAGATAGCAGACAAGTGTTAACTTTGGTAAAGCGAAAGACAACACACAATACGGGAAGTCAGCACAGCTTGACCAAGGCAAAGTCATGGAAGCTTCCTAGACCCATCCCAACACTTTGAGGGTCCGAGTTACTGGGACTGAGGGCTGGGGACCATGGTCTTGGCATAAAATACTTCATAAAGAGAATCTTCTACATACCACTTGCTAGTGGCTTACCAGTGGCCATCTAAGATGCATCTATTTTTCCCATCCTGTTCAGAGCAAAGGAGAATGAAGAAAATCAAAGACACAAGGGAAATATTAGTCCAAAATGACTAGTGGACCACATGAGCCACATCACAGTCTCCACTAGCCTGAGCCCAGAATAACTAGATGGTGCCCAGCTACCACCACCGATGGCTCTGACAGGGATCACAATAGAGATCCGGGACAGAGCGGGATAGAAATGTAGAACAAAATTCAAATTCACAAAAAAGATCAGACTTGCTGATCTGACAGAGACTGGAGGATCCTCTAAGATTATGGCCCCCAGACACCTTGCTTACTCAGAACTGAATCTGCTCCTGAAGTCCACCTTTGAGCCAAAGATTAGACAGGCCTGTGAAACAAACAATACCACGTAGTTTGATCAAGTATACAGAGGTAAGCGGGCAACACCCGAGAGGACAGGAAGGGACAGGAAGACTGGACAAATGGACACGTGGAATCCCAGGTGGAAAAGGGGAGAGTGCTGACACATTGCGGGGACTGCAACCAGTATCATAAAACAATTTGTGTACAATTTATAATTTTTCTAATGAGAAACTAATTTGGGCTATAAAGTTTCACCTAAAGCACAATAAGAAAAGAAAACAAGGAAAAAGAAAGAAATGTTGGGCTTTGGTCTAACAGGGAGTTAGGCTGATTTTAGCTTGATCATCTGGAGGCTTGTTTTTAAGTTTTTCTAGTGTGGTTCCAGAGTATCTTTTACTTTAGGGATAGTTTATACCCATTACTATGATCTGGCCCTTCTAATGTCAAAACTTAATGGTCCAGGCAGTCAATTTGGACTCTCCACTGTTGTGGTAGGAACTTGAATGAATCTTGCTCTTTATGACTCTAGAAATCATTCAGCTCACAGCTTTCCAATGACTTTTCGACCAGCCTCATGGATTTCCATCCTTTGCATTCATGTCTTAGGATTCAGCATAGATTCAAGGTACCCCTAAGTGGACTTCTGGAATGCTCTTCCTGCATAGCTCCCTTCTCTGTGGAACTCTGCCTCACAAACTCCAGCCTCTTCAGACTCCCTAAACCCTGACCCTGTCTCCTTACCACAACAAGAAGACAGTCTCTGCTCGCAATAGCCCCCCGTTCCATGACCTAGAATGTGCTTTCTTTGCAAAAAGATGGGGTGATCCTAGACTTTACCCTCTTTATTTCTTTTCTCTCAGATGTCATAATTCTGTACTGTCTGTGATTTAATGTCTGAAAAACAGTTATTTCATACATTTGTCTAGGTTTCCAGTTGTTTAAGTCAGGAGGGGGATCTCGGTCTCTGTTATTCGGTCTTGGCTGGATATTTAACTGATTGAATATTTGTGTAAGAGAAAAGCACAACTTAAAAATTACACTATGATTTCAGACTTAATTGTCAGAGAATTTTGAAATGATCATGTACAACCCTACAGTAAAAGACCTCTTCCATTATTACAAACACTGGAAGAAACTGGAAAGTCAGACTTTATGAGATACAATAGATAGATAATTATCTTTAGGGTAATGGAAAGTCATTAAGAGTCCCTGTGTGAGGCAAATGGTTCAACTTCTTGGCTGCTAACCAAAAGGCTGGAGGTTCAAGTCCACACACAGGCTCCTAGGAAGAAAGGCCTGGTGATCTACTTCCAAGAAAGTAGCCATTGAAAACCCTCTGGAGCACAGTGCTACTGTGACACATGTGGGTTGCCATGAGTTGGAGTCGAATCGACAGCAAATGATTTTTAAGAGTCATTAGGTAGAACTACACAGTTGGCAATTTAGAGCCACAGATAAGGAATTCATCCACAGAAAGTTAAGAGATGGAGTCAGAGATGGCATGTTGACATTTATGGTGGGAATTCAGACTTCAGCTGTTCCTTAATATTAAATTTGACTCAGAGCTGCTGTCAAAGACAGACTACTGGGATCTGTAAACCATGATTTTGACCTAATCTAACAATTCTTGTGTTTGCATTTTAACCAATGTATCACTACCCAGGAAATAAAATACCAACCATAAGGGTTGTTTATCCTTGAAATTAACTGTATGATATTTCCAACAATATTCTTCATATAAGAGCAAAAAGAAAATAATGTGATTTCTACAGATTTTATTATTGATGTTAGCCTGGACTATGAGAAAGGTGGTCATCAGTCCATTCCAAAGAGCCAAAAAATGCATCTTTAGTTTATTTTTCCCCTTAGTGTGATTAAACGACACTAGATTATATGCAGAAGCTACGCTTTGACTTTAAAATCTTTACCTTGATTTTTCTTATCTCAACTGATTCTTAGAACATTTATTTTGAAGTATGCAATAGTTCAAATTGCAATATTAAAAAAAAAAAAAAGCCTTTCTTTCTTCCAACCTGGCTTGAATAATTCATCAAGAAACCACTAAAATGTGGCTAAACCTTGTTTTTAATGATGTCGTATTCTTAAATTTTATCTGAGTAACTAAATGTTTAAGAAATTGACCTTCATTATAATGATGTATATGTAATGTTGAGTGTCTAAAATTAAGTAAAGTTTCAGTAATCCCAGAAGTAATAATGAACAGCTTAACTTGAAACATTCTTATGTTACTTTATTGCTCTTGATTTCAGGAGTACCTGGTTTAAGTACGTAATGAGTACGTTTTCCAGCATATCCAATTTACATGTCTTCAAGACTTTTACCTCTTTAATGTGTAATTTAGAAGTGGCATTTAAAACGGTTTTTTAAAAAGTCAGATACACTTATTAATTATTTTTAAAGCTATAAGATTTTAGGGAAGAGTCTTCAGTTAAAAATGTATTTGTTGCTGGCAAAGTCCATCAATTAACCAATATTCATCCATCATCACCAGGGTCAAAGATTGTGCCCTTGTGAGATTTTACTTTCAGCGTATCATGCCTTTGACTTATTAGATACTTTCGAAGGTGATGCCTGGCAGTAATAAGTGCTTAATAAATACTGGTTGAAAGAATGAATTTTAAGACCTTGAAAAAAATAAACCTGTAAGTGCTGAAGTACTTAGAAATAAAAGTTGCGCTGTGTTTAATAAGGTGCAATTAAAGAATCAGCCAAGCTCAGAAACTGCTTTTTGGAAGTATTGGCAGTCCTTAGTCAACACAGGAGTCCTTAGTTAAATGGACAAAAAATGAGGTTGAGAATAGAAATTTCGGCACAGATACACAGTCTACCAATTTGCTGATCACTGGTGAACGCTAGCTACATATGCTTTTTTGAAACTAACATGCACTGTTGGTTCAGTTAGAGAGCATACGGAATTAAATCTGGTTAAATCCCTCATTTAATTTCACAGTCATGTTTTTCTTATGTTAAATTTTCTAATTGATATTCTGATTTTTAATTCTTTTTTCTCTTTCACAGCACTTAATGGAATGAGTTGTTAGTTTCTAATAGAAAGGTTCTGATAATGAAAGAGCCAGTATGTCTACTTATTATAGAAAGTATAAAAATAAAAATGCATGTACTTAAATGTAATTGGAGGTTATATTACTGTATTCATATATCTTTTGACCCTGACAAACTGAATATTTTTTCATTGATATCATGAGGTGACTTTTTTCTTGAGCTTGCTTCTGCAAAATGGTCTTGAAAACAAACACAATTACAAAATGTTTAATTGCTACACAGGACTGAGTTTTGGATAAATAAATCAGAAATTTACTTAAAACTATATGTTAAGTTGTTACGATTATTTCTCTACTGCATTTAACAGCACAATATTCACCTTTTATATTAATAAATTTTCCTCTCACGAAAATCATTAATACTTAAGGATTTGAGGTTACCTGAACTGAGTGCACCATTGAAAGACTGTTAAAAGCCAGTGATATTTATTCAGTCTAATTATTTATTTTTTGACTGTTTGTTTGTGTTTAAGGGTTAAAACGAGGTGAGCCAACCATGACTGGCAAAACACAGACCAGCAACGTCACCAATAAGAACGACCCCAAGTCCATCAACTCTCGTGTTTTCATCGGCAACCTAAATACAGCCATTGTCAAGAAAGTTGACATTGAAGCCATTTTCTCAAAGTATGGAAAAATCGTTGGATGCTCAGTGCACAAAGGTTATGCATTTGTACAGTACATGAGTGAACGACACGCCAGAGCTGCAGTTGCTGGAGAAAATGCCAGGATCATAGCAGGCCAACCACTTGGTAAGTCATGCTCGGCTCCAGATTTCATGGCCGTATTCTAATCTCTGCCCGTATCTGGATTTGGTCTTATTGTTTCAAAACCAGCGCTACCCTAATATCTATCTCTCTCTCTTCTTTAACAATTATAGTGCTGCATCTTTATAATTTATATTATTTTCTTGTTCTCATATTGTTTCACATACAGATGTTTTATTTTCTCTACAAATTTATAAATTTGAGATCAAAGCTGCTTTGTAATACTTTATTGCCTCTACCAGTTCTGTCAGGCAAATACAATACATCACGTTTCACTTTATTCGACTTGAAATGATGTTTATATTCCAAAAAACGTTATGCTAAGCAAAAAAATAACTTTTGCTTATTATACTTACAGCATTTGTTCTGAGGAGTGAATGTGTGTATTTTTCTCATTTTCTGTTCTTAGTGTTTTCGGGGTAGGCTGTAGGAAACAGCAAAAGGAAGTAAATTGTGAGAACTGGAGAAGGAATATAACCCACTCTTTCTTATCTAATTGGGAAGCTTATATATTGTGCCTGTTCAGTCAGATGCCATAATCATATTTGTGCCTAATGACCAAGGAGTCATATAGAATTTTCAGTCAAAGAAGAATATAGTCTGAAGTAAAATGAAAAGCCTGGGAGCAAATATTCTGTATGTAACATATAGACCAAAAAAATAAATAATTATACAATCGTTCAGATGTTTTTCAAATGAGGAAAAAATATCCTGTCTCGACTCATATATCAAACTGATTATTCAACATCTTTTCTTGGATATCCAATAGGAATCTCAGCTTCATATGCCCAAAAGAAAACTTTTGATTTTCCTGACGGTCAAACTGCTTCTCCTCTAGGCTTCTGCATCACAGTAAACGGAACCTTTGTTTATCCAGTTTTTCTCACAAAATCTAGGTGTCAATCTTGCTTCTTCTCTTCTGCCACGCCCTAAGTCTTCATGAAGTTATCTATCCCACACCCAACCACCTTTCAACTCTGTGCCAATTGTCCTCTTGTACAGACCACTGAAATAACCTTAACTTGCCTGCCTCTTTCTGCTCTTGACATGGTATCTTTTTAAAACCTGCTTTTAACCTTCAATGCCTTTCCATCTCATCCAGAATAAAATTTACATTCTCTACAGTAACTAAAAGGAGCCCTGTTGGTGCAACAATCAGCTCGCTTGGCTGCTAACCCAAAGGTTGGTGGTTCGAACCTAATCCATGGCTCCATGGGGCAAAGACCTGGTGATGTACTTCTGTAAAGATTACAGCCTAGAAAACCCTATGGGGCAGTTCTGCTCTGTCAATGGGATTGATAGGAGTCGAAAACAGACTTGATAGCACATAACAGCAACATGGTAACTACAGCGCCCCGTGCTGCCATATCTTCAGCTCCATCTCCTTCCTCTCTCTGTCTTGCTTGCATTGGTGTAACAATGCTGACCACCTTCACATGCCTTAAACATTCCAAGATCGGTCCTACGTCAGAGGCTTTGTACTTGCCGTTTACTCTGCTCAGAAGACAAGCCCTTGCTGTTGTTTGCTTCCTTCCTTTTCCTATTCTGTGATCAAAATTTACCTTCCCTGAGAAGCTGTTCCTGATCATCCTGTCTAAAGTAGAATAGAGCCTTCTGGCCCCTTGCCTTCCCTCTATATTCAATTGCTTTATTTTGTATTTTTTCGTAGCCCCCGGGAGTTTTGGAATTACATGTTTTAATTTATGATGTTACCTCTTAATGAGATGGACTGACACAGTGGCGGTACCAATGGGCTCAAGCATAGTGATTGTGAGGATGGCGCAGGACCAGGTAGCGTTTCCTTTTGATGTACATAGAGTCTCTGTGAGTCAGAACCGACTCGACAGCACCTTACAACACCACCACCTCTGTCGTGTCCATAGGTGTAAAACAAAAATCCCATAAAAGAGACAAGTTAAAGTAGGGAGAAATCAAGTTAGAAGAGTGCTAAGAATATTGTATTATCAAATTTTATAAAGCAATTAAGAAAAATGTTTGGAGAAGTATGGGATTTATAAAATGAGAATGAAGCCTGAGACAAAAGACTTGAAAGAAAAACGATGTGTTTATATTCACTGCCGTCTCCAGGCAGGGGCAGTGGTGGTTCTGTGGTAGAATTCTCGTCTTTCACATGGGAAGATGCCAACCAGTGCACCTAATACGCCTCATACGCCACCACCCATCTGTCAGTGGAGGCTTGCATGTTGCTAGAATGCTGAACAGGTTTCAGTGGAGCCTCCAGACTAAAACTGACTAAGAAGAAAGGCCTGGCAATCTACTGCTGAAAATCAGCCAATGAAAACCCACAGTGGTCTCATCTGCATCTGATCCTGGGGACGGCACAAGACTGGGCAGTGTTTAATTTTGTTGTGCGTGGAGTTGCCCTGAGTCAGAAGTCAGTTCAACAGGCACTAACAATAACCAGCCTTCTGTTGACCCAAAAATAATCATTGTCGTGTGATAATATAATTTTTCATTTACATTTCCCCAACTTTATCCTATATTTTAAGGAAAGGTAATGCTTTCCAAAACATATTGTTACATTTCATTTGTCCCTTTTTGTTTTCCTTAATCTCCCCCATTCTGCTCGCTTAACCTTGATGTGGGAATTTTCTGACCATTTTTGTTTCTAAGTTGAGATTCTTATTTCAGGGTCACATGTCAGCCAGTCTTCATTTATTGCCTATATCCTGATTGTTGTGAGACTAGTATATACCTTGTAGAAATACTTTCAATTTTTTTTCTCTTTAATTAATTATCAAAATAAGGTGAATTAAAATTCTGGTTGGCTCATTAATGAACAGGGGCTATTTTACTGAATCTCTTTTTCTAACACTGCCCAGTAAGTTGTTATTCTTTTGAGAACAATGCGATGTCAAAAGAGATATATCCACGTTGAAATTTTAGTGTCTCAATTACACAAATCCAAGGAGAAAAAATTGAGGACACCAAATCACTTTGCTCTGAGAGGCGGAGTTAAATTGTACCTCTAATAATATAGCATTTCCATTCTCCAGTCATTCCTTGAAGACTCTCTCTTGGTTGTGTCCACAGGTTAATGTCAGGAGCATATGTCTTAGTCAGCCATAATCACCCTTTCTGCCTGAATCCAAGTCAAAGATTTTATTTCTTTAGTTGAAATCTAGAATTTCACTACTTCTGTCTAAGCTGAATGTCTTCTTACACAAAGAGAGTGCGTAGCTATTTATCACTACCTCTGTCTAAGCTGAATGTCTTCTTACGCAAAGAGAGTGCGTAGCTGTTTAATAACTTTGCTTTTCAGGTGTAGTGTCCGAATAAACTCATCTTTTCTTAAATTTTGTCCCTAGAAATTCAGACAAAGTTTTCAAGTTATTCTTATTGATAAAACGTTAGTTCCTCCATCAGGTCCTAGATAATACCTTCTATCTTCCAAGAGATATATCTAGTTAAGGCTTTACTATAGCTTTGTTTTTGATGACGTAGGTAGAACTTAGTTTCAGGTAAATCAATTACTTGTTTCTTGAATTTTCACTCTCAAATAAATCATTTATGGTATGCAGCCCCACACTGCCCTGTATGCTCTTGGTCCGCAGTGAAGTAATCATGGATCAAATCATAGACCTTTGTCATAGGGAATTGACATTAGCTTTATGTAGTACAACCTAAGTATTTTCTTTTCTTCCTAAAGTGGGAAGGAAATTAATATTGATTAAATCATGCACTGGGCTAGTGTTCTACCTATCTTATTTGATCTCCTATCTATCTCCTTGTGAATAGAAACAACCTTCTTATTACCACTTGGTGTTTAAAAAACTCTGTATACAGTTTAGAGATTAGAGTGGTACCAGGAAAAATTAAACATCCTAATATGAATTCTTACAGTTCTTTGGAGATTATGTATATACCCCTTAAATGAGAATATGCTACACATGTGATGAAACCTAACATTTATTAAATATCAAATGTCATTAATAGCTATTTCGATTCTGCAAGTAAAGGGACCACTGAAGAGTTGTAAGCTGGGAAGTAATATGTTGAAATGTCTTCTACTGAAAGTATGACCTATCAGCATTTTGGTGGATGGATTAGAGTGATATAAAACAAGAAACAAGAACATGTGTTTGGAACCTACTGAAAGAGTTCAGGTTTCAAATTATGGAAATGAAAATGGAGAAACAGGAAAAGGATATAAGAGTAATAAGACTTAGTAAGCAATTTGGTTAAGAGCTACAGCTGCTAACCAAAAGGTTGGCAGTTCAAATCCACCACCTGCTCCTTGGAAACCCTATGGGGCAGTTCTACTCCATCCTATAGGGTCATTTTGAGTTGGAGTCGATTCCATGGCGGTGGGTTAGTTTTTTATTAACTTTATTTTAATTTTACATTTGGATTAGTAAGCAACTGGCATAGTGAGTGAAACAGAAAGCAATCAAGAATGATTCCCATATATCTGTGTTAGGGTCTCTGTTGGATACTCTTGCAGGTCACTGAAATAATGAAGATGTAAGGTGAAGAAGACTTTGGAGTTAAGACAGTAGTTCAGAACTGAATATATGATATTAAGATTAATGTGTATGCCTGAGAATATTCAGGTAGATAAATTTTTGGTTACACAGGTCCGAAACTCAGAGGAGAGATCTCAGAGTCAACAACACAGATAGTGCTAAAGTTGTAGAAGTGGATAAGCTCACCGACGGAGAATATATAGAGTGGAAAGGGAACACTGGCTAAATATGAATCTGCAAAGAAATCTTTGGGTCTCTGGAAAGAGAATCTTTCTGATAAGCCCACTGCAAAAATCTAAAGCAAAACTATTTTCCACACGGCTGATTCTCAACTCAAACCTGTAGTTATCTGGCCTTCCTAAACTTCCTATGTTAGGTGATTGCTTATGTACAGTCTCCTAAAGTCATTTCCCCTAAACTGCTAGTGATTTGCAGACTTTCAGGGCCGCATATTCAGCTTCTCTCATGGATCCTTATGTATAAAAATGGCAACCCAAG